GTCACGCAAATGGAGGACTTGGGGCTCTCGACACTGAACAGTGTTTCCCAGCGTGACCTCGGGCAGACGGTAAGTAGGCCCGGAGACATTTTCCACGCTCCACTCCTGCAGCGCTTGGCTCTGGGGAAGCGATGCTGCTGGGGGAGGCGTCGGCTGCGGCTAAGAGACCCCTGCCACCAATCCGGACTCCTTCGGAGATGCCGCCGCTGGGCACACGCCAGTCCCCAGGCACGCGATGGCGGCCCCGCGGGAGAGACCCTGGGGTGACCAACCACGCCTTCGCACCCACTAGGAAGCCGACGAGAACCAGGATGGCGCCGACGGGAGGAGCTGGAACCCCTGGACTTTGCTGCTGCGGACGCCGAGTGGGGCAGCTGCTGTGGCCAAGGGGGCGGATATTTCCCAAACGTTAAACCCAGAACCACCGTCCGCTCCAACTATTCCCCCGGGGCTCCCCGCCGCGTCCTCCGTTGGCAGAGCGGGCCACCCCCGGTCACGCCTCACGTGGGCCGCAGTGCTCCTCACGGGGAAGAGATGTGCGCACATGTCACCTTCCCTTTCTCTATAAAAATAACGTCCTTTCGCCCGCAGGCCTCCCAGCTTCACACCCAGGTCTTGGTCACGCAAGACGAAGGTGCAGCAGTCCACCCGGCCCCTCTCCCGTGGGCTCAGTTACCCACGGGGAGCCCTGTTCTGAAAACATTAAATGAAAAACCCCCAAAACAAACACTTGGTCACTCAACCTGTNTCATTCAATCACCCACGAAGCACAACATCACTTTCCTCTGGTTCTCTCCGGGATACGCTGACACTGCCCCACGGTGCCGATGACACGTGAAATGTGCCAGTCGCGCTAAGCAAATGACCCGGAGGGCAAAAAATAANCCTCTGGTTCTCTCCGAGATACGCTGACACTGCCCCACGGTGCCGATGACACGTGAAATGTGCCAATCGCGCTAAGCAAATGACCCGGAGGGCAAAAATAGGAGGGACCACGGGCGTGGCCCGACCACGCTTCTTACGGCCACGTGGCTGTAAAATGGAGAAGGCTCGGCCTACGGGTCCCCGGCGCCCTGAGCTTACACAGGGAGCAGGCAGGATGGAAACGAAGGAGAGCTCTGGCCGTCCGTCAGGGGCACGTTTCAGAGACAGAGCAAATAAGAGACACCCACGTTTGACTCAAGGATTCATAAAAATTTCAAAAAAAAAATTAGGTGTCACGACGCTGCCGTGTTGATGTTAATGGCACTTCTCGGTTGCGCTCACTGGTTTATTTTTATTTTTTTTAAATGTTTTTATTGATTTCAGAGAGAGGAAGGGAGAGGGGGAGAGAGAGAAACATCAATTGGCTGCCTCCTGCACCCCCCGACTGGGGATGGACCCACACCCCGGGCATGTGCCCTGACCAGCGACCTCTTGGTTCATGGGTCAACGCTCAGCCACTGAGCCACACCGGCCGGCACGCCCATTAGTTTAAAGAGAACAAAACCCAGCAAAGGGCAGGCCCAAAGCCGAACACTGGG